TAGTATGAATATACCAGAGCTTGTTCATCCATTCCTCTATAGTGAAGATTTTTGGTTGTTTCTATGTTTTTGCGGTTGTGGAAATTGCTGCAGTAAACACAGGTGCACATAGATGCTTTTGTGCTGTGTTCTTGATTTCTTCAGCGTATGTAGCCAGTAGAGAGACTGCTGGGCCATAAGGTACTTGTATTTGCACTTGTTTAAGGAAGTGCCATCCTGATCTCCATTGTGGTTGTACAATTCTACAGCCCTACCAGCAATGTAAGAGCCTTCCTATCTCTCCACATCCCTCCAGTATTTATTATTTTCTATTTTATTTAATTTTGTCAAAAGTCACAGTGCTAGGTGTTATCTCATTGTTGGTTTAATTTTCATTTCTTTTATTGCTAATAATCATGAACATTTCTTCACATGGTTGTTAGGCCTAGATGTTGTCTTTGGTAAATTGTCTATTCATGTCTTGTGCCCATTTAAAAAAAAATTCGATTACTTGTATTTTTCTTGCTAAAATATTATAGTTTCCTTAGATTTTGGAGAGTAAGCCTTCACCTGATGTATTATTACTGAATGCTTCCTAATCTGTGGGCTCTGTTGACTCTTTCGATGCACTCTTTGAATGTCATATTGTTAGCAGGCCCATCACTGTAGAGGATGGATGAACAAGCTATGGACAGTTTTCACTATGTTCAGTGTTGTGTTCGTGCCTTGTGTTAGAGTCCTTAAGTTTGTCCCTGTTTTTCTTCTTATTGATGGTCTTAATGATTGTGTGGCTTACAGTTCGGTCTTCGATCCATCTTAAGTTGGTTTTTGTACATGGCGTGAGGTATGGATCTTGTTTCATTCTATTGCAGATAAAGACCCATTTTTTCCAGCACCATTTGTTTAAAAGGCTATTCCTTGCCCAAATTAATGTGTTTTGGTTCTTTATTAAAACTTAGGGGTCTGTAGAACCTGGCTGTATTTCTGGGTTCTCAATTCTAATTCATTAGTCTTCAGATCTATCATTGTACCAGTATCAGGCTGTTTTGATTACCTGGACTATATAGTCAGTTTTAAGGTCTAGGAGTGAAAGGTCCCCTACTTTGCTTTTGTCTTTCGTTAGTGTTTTATTTATCTAGGTTTCTTTCCTTTTCTTATGAAGTTGGCGATTAGTTTTTCCACTTCTTTGAAAAATTTGCATCAGAATTGCATTGAATTTGTAAAGCAATTTTGGTAATACTGATACTTTCACAATATTTAATCTCCCTATCTAAGAATATGGTAACTTGTTCCATTTGTCACAACTGATGTTATGTTTGAGCCTATTATCCATTGTGTCCATCCATCTCATAAATCTCCATACTTTTTTCCTGATCCTCTACCAAGGATGATATTCTTTTCAAAGGACAGGTGCCGCACTTGGCATGTTCAAAGTATAGGATACAAAAATCTCACTATCCTCACTTCTAAGGAGTATTCTTGCTGCACCTCCCCCAGGACAGGCTGGTCTGTTCTTCTGTAAGTCCCTGGTCCTGTTCCTATTCCTCACCAACTTCAAAGGCATCATTTGTCCTTTGTCTTCCTTCTTAATTGTCCAGCTTTCACTTGCATGCGATGTAATTGAACATATCATTGCGTGGATCAGGCACACATTAGTTCTCAAAATAACATATTTTCTCTTTAACACTCTAACGAGGTCCTTGGTAGCAGATTTTCCCAATGCAGTCCGTCATTTGATTTCTTGACTGCACCTTTCCTGACTGGGCAATACCAGTCTTAGGAATATAATACCCAGAAAACATGAAAGCAGGAATTAACAGAGACCTGACCACCAGTGTTCATTAGACAATAGCTAAAATGTGTGAACAACCAAAATGTCCATCAACAGAAGAGTAGATGACAAAATGTGGTATGTGCACACAAAGGAATGCTAATTAGCCATAAGGAGAAATGAGGTCCTGATGCGGGCAGCAACATGCACTAACCTTGAAATGCTATGCTTAGTATGTTAGGCGGGTCCTGCAGAGAAGCAAAACCAGTGAGTCTCGTATGTGTATAAATACCGAAAGATGCGTATAGCAAGAAGTTGCTCTTGACGTTGTAGAACCCAGTCCAGTCAAGCCCCATAGGTCAGATGTAAGCTGAAGGCTCTGTAGCTGCTGGGGCTGATCAACAGAAAAGGGAAAGATGAAGTGGGAGGACCACAGACTGGTGGGTGCCGAGTTGAATGAATCCAAGATTGGCCAAATCACTCCAAGACCGACTTCTGGTTGTTGATGGCTGTTGATGGCTCCTGGGATCAGCAGGTCCAGGAACCAGGCGCGGGCTCCAGTAGAAATGAACCAGCTTCTGCGCACTTTGAGTCTCTACAAAGAGTAGGCCCTACCCCAAATGAAACCTCCCTCAATTGCATCAAGACTGTGCCCAGATTTATTGCTTGGCTGCTTCACAAGATTCCATCATGGTGTTGACCTCATTATGTTAGATCACATCATGGAAGAACGTTGGTTCGCTCAAGTTGACAGAAAGCCTATAGTCACATTGAGGGACATACATCAGTCACAAAAGGACAGATACTATTTGATCTCATTTGTGTGAACTATAGAAACCAAAGATTATTATTAGGAGGAAAGGGAAGGAGTCTGTGCTTAAGGGAACTGAGTTAGATTCCCAAACTTACTTAGCCTACTGGCCTCTTTTTAGAAAAAAATAATATATATTATAGTATCTGCTTTTGCAGCCCCCTGGATGTTTCCAGCACTCTCTAGAGGGTGCTATCAGCCATTTTGGGGAGCACTGGTTTATATTAATGGCAGTGGAATCATTCAGAAAACACCAGTGATTGATAACAGGTGCACAACTTGAAGAATATAATCATGTCATCGGATTATACAAGTAGAAATTGTTGGGGGGAAAAAAAGAAGTAACAGGTGAATCTAATAGATATCAAAATTAGAGAACCACTGTACGGTACCCATGGTCAGGGTTGATATTAACCCTGCTCATATCCAATGTTCGTACTGGTTGTTAAAATATTTAAATATCTTCTCAATGATTAGCGAAGGCACACTGGCTCATCTCAATGACTGCTTGGGTCCCTGTGCCAGGAACTACCGGACCTCCTCCTGACAAGGGTCCTTCAAGGTAATGCCTCCAATCTCAGGACCTTCAGAATCCAGCAAGCCTTTCATGTGAGTCCAGTCACCCTTATCGCTCTGTGGTGTTCCTGAGTCCTACAGACTACCACCTACAACCTGCCAGTGACTCAATCCCTTATCAAAGAGCCATCAAGCACAGCCTCCTACCTCAGGTTCACCCCAGAACACACTGATGCCTTCCCACAAGTCAACAGTGGGAGAGAGCCACTTCCCTCTGCTTGCTATCTAGACCTGCCTTTGTCTCGTAGTCGGTGGTCACACTGATTGTATAGGAGGGGGCTTCGAAAAGTCAGGGGGAAGATGCATCCCGTTTTTCTTTAAACTTGATGAAGCCCTCTCATTTGAGAGCATATTATAGGACCAGTACTGGGCACTTTATATAAGCAATCTAATTTAATGTCTGCCTTCCTCAGATGTAAGCACTAACCTTACCTACATTTCGCAAGTAAGAACATGGAGGCTTGGGCAGATTGAGTGCTTTGTCCCAGTCACAGAGGTCACATTCAAACAGATTTGTGTGGTTGAAAATCCTTCTGAATTTTTTCTCAAATTAGTCCCCAGCGCTTCTTAGGGCCTTCGAATTAATTGAATTGAAGCTTACCGACCTCATCCTACTTTTCGGACCCCTCAATACATTCACGCATGTTTCCACTCTCACCTCCTCCCTCGGGTTTGGTGTACTGCAGGCTCACAGCCAGGGTAGCTCTCCCAGGGCTTCCCAGCCAATGTCAGGGGCCCAACAGAACAGACCAGCGACTTATGGGTGGAAATATATAGCTAGAAGCTGGGTAACTGTGAAGCCACAATAGGATCCGAGCATCAAGTAAATATCTCCCAAATGAAGGAATAAGCATTCCCTGGATCCCATTGAAAGAGCCTTGGTGGTGGTGTCAAGGGAGAGCAGGACTGCTAAGCACCTGGCCGGTGGTCCAAACCCTCCCAGTGCTCAGAGAAAGATGAGGCCGTCCTCTCTGGTAATGGTTTCCAAGGCATCAGAGACCCTGCATCAGGCCACTGTGGGTTGTAATTCACTTGATGGCAGTGGGATTTCTATTTCATTGGGTTATTCACCTCCATGCCCTACCAAACCAGGACATCAAAAAATAATTCACATACACTCGGCAACCCACCCAAAGTCCCACTCTTTGCTGCTAAAGTGATACATGGTTATGAGATTTAATCTAATCTGTGCATATACCCGGATGAGCATCCCTGATGGTGCAGTGGTTAAGCTGAAAGCTTAAGTCATTCAAGTTAACCACCTATCTTAAGTCGATGGTCAGAACCTACAATGCTCTGCAGGGGAAAGATAAGACTGTCTGCTCTACACAGATGTGCAGCCTGGGAGACCCTCTGGAGCAGTTTGACTCTGTTGCAATCAACTCAGGGACAGCCGTTGTGTGTTTTGGGATGCAGAGATGCCTGTTGTCAATGTTTTAATTTGCTAATGTTTTAAAAGAGGAAGTGAGATCTGTTTGTTGACTACTGTAGGAATATTGAAAAAGTTTATTATTGAAGTGTGTGTCTCTTTCTCTCCTCTCTCTATCTGTCTCTTTTCCTCCCCTGCAGAAATGAAGCCAGCAACAAAAACTAAACTAGTTGAGCAAGGTCCTCAGATCCTCGGTGTCCAGAGAGTCTACATTCAGACTCGGGAAGAGAAGCGCATTAACCTGACCGTGGGTAGCAGAGCCTATCTGCTGCCCAACACATCTGTGATTATTAAATGCCCAGTGAGACGATTCCACAAGCCTATGATCCAGTGGGAGAAGAATGGCCACTGCCTGCAGAACTCCAGACGCCTGGGCATCACCAAATCGGGCTCGCTCAAAATCCACAGTCTGGCAGCCCCCGACATCGGCGTGTACCGGTGCATTGCAGGGGCTGCGCAGGAGACCGTTGTGCTCAAACTGATTGGCACTGACAACCGCCTCATCGCACCCCCAGTCCTCAGAGAGCACAGGAGAGTGTATCCGGGGATGGAACACAGCCAGGACAACAGCTTGGGAGCCACGTGGCATAAAATGCAGCAAATGCGGAATAACAAAAATGACCTCTATCTAGATGATGGCCAGATTAATAGCCAGCCTATCTTAAGAGCTCTCTTGGGCCACTGCAGCCACTCTGCAGGACACACCAACTCCTGGGAGTTGAAGAATAAGCAGTTTGAAGCCGCGGTTAAACAGGGGGCCTATAGCATGGATACCGCCCAGTTTGAAGAACTGATAAGAAACATGAGTCAGCTCATGGAAACGGGCGAGATCAGCGATGACCTTGCATCCCAAGTGATCTACCAGCTGGTGGCCGAGTTAACTAAGGCACAACCCACGCATGTGCCATGGAGGAGCATCCGGGAAGAGGTGCCTCCCGCAGCTCAGCTGAGGGGGGAAATGGGAAGTGTGCCCCCAAACTCAAATGCGAGGGACTCAGGCAAGCTGACATTTAGGCCAAAGGTGCCTGTTCTTAAGAGGCAGAGCCAACCCCCTGAAATTTCATTTAATAAAACAATTCATTCAAGGATTGGCAATACAGTATTCATTACGAAAAGGACTGCCGTCATCAATATTCTGTGTGACCTTGCCACCCCCAGTGAGGTCGTATACACATGGACCAAGGATGGAGCATTGTTACAACCCTCAGCAAAGTAAGTAAAATAAGAAATGTTTTTAAGATTGGCGTGCCTTCTTAATGACTTTTCCAGTTTTCTTGAAAATATTTTCAAATTCCATTTATTCAGACTAGGTTTCCCACAGGATGCTTCTTTAGGAAGGAAACTGTAAAATATTGGTATATGTTTGTCACACATGTTTTGGAATTTTATGAATGAAACTATCACATGATTCTATTCATTATCATATTGGTGTGGTCCAAGGCTGGCCGCCCCAAGACTAAGTTCAAGTGTGTGTAGATTTTTCCCTTTGCAGAACACGTAACATTCAGAAATAAAATCAATATACTGCCATCGAAAACAGAACGTCTATTTGTAGTGACACTATACTGTGTATAAACTTCACCTCAGAACTTGCAGAGCTTCTCTTAGATCTTCAGATAAAACGTGATCATATTCATCATCAACAAGAACAGTTCAAGACGTATCCTAAAGCCCAGTGATAGGCTAGTGTTCACCCGCCTACAAGGAAGACCAGGCACTGCAACCATGACTCACATTGATACGCCAACCACCAAGGCCAACGATGAAGAAACAAATCAAGGATTTTACCAACTTCTGCTGTTTGCAATTGATGAAGGCAAGCCGTATTGATGATTGCTCGTGACTGGGATGTGGAAGTTGGGAAAGAAGAAGTACTAGTAATTGAGAAATGTGGCCTTGGTGGTAGAAATGACGCCAGATGGCATGCTGGCATTTTACACGACCAAAGACCTGTTTATTCGAAATGTCTTTCCTCAACAACCTAAATGGGGCCCTCACTCGATGAAATAACACAGGAAGCAAAACGACTGAGAAAGAGACAATGAAGAAATGAATATTATCCACCAGAACAAGGTCAGGGCTGATTGCAGCGCAGAGCGTCAGTTGCTTATAGGCCAGGTGTAGTTGGAGCTGAAGATGATGAGAACAAGTCCACAATCCCACCTGAACGTAGAGACCATCCGAAGAACAGCTTTGACCCATGCGAACATGCCTGCAGATGACATCCAGGACCACGTATGTGAAGAAAGCAAAATAATCTACCCACTTCCATCCAGTTGATTCTCATAAGAGTGACCCCACAGGGCAGAGTAGAAATGTCCCTTTACGTTCCCAAGACTGTAAATCTCTACGGAAGCTGAAGGCTCCTCTGTCTCCCCAGAGCCACTGCTGAAGTCAAACTGCTGATCTGGTGGTTAGCAGCCGAGTGCAGCCTGCACCACGCCACCAGGGCGGCTGGAAGAAAGCAAAGGGTCATCAAACAGACAGGAACAAGAGAAAAGGTTCAAATGTGCATTAGAAGAGGCTCTGAAACTAGCTCTTGATCATAGAGTAGATAAAGTGAACTGGGGGCGGGGGGGCATGATGATGTGAAAGAAATGAATAGAAGATGTCAAACTCTAGAAGGCAAAGAGAAGCATAAGGCTAAATCAGAACGTATGGCTGCAAGAAAAAAGTCCTAGAAACCTGTACTATCCTTTGAGGCCCGCACAATTCTGAAGGTGGTGTCTCGGTCTGCCGAGCCTTCCCCAAAGAAGCCTGCGTTCGTAGACTTAGATGACATCAAAACTGCCGTGTGGACCTCCTCAAGGGACTCGCAGCATGCTCCTTGGAATGTTCCTTGAGTTTGGAGGAACACAAAGGAGATCGAAGAGGCGAGATCAGGACCACGGCGAGGAAGGAGGACGGTCCCCCAACAAAAGTCGCATAGGACAAGCCTCCCCCTAAGAATGAACAGGTGCATGGTTGGGATGGGAAAAATAATCACTAGGTGTGCACATTTCTTGGATTTTTCTCCCACTTAAGCAGTTTTTAATTTTCTTAAATTTTCTTTATAAGCATCTGTAATTTCTCTGTATCCTTCCAGAAAATCCATAAAGTTTGTCCCTCTGGAAACCCCAAACCAGGCCACCGGAAACGTCAGAGCTGACCTCCCTGTCTTGACTTTAACTGGCTCAGTAGATAAGATTAGATACCAGTGTTTGGATTGGACTTCTCTCAGGCACCTTAACAAGATGAAGATGAGTGTATTACCGAGAGAACTTGCCTGCAGCCGTCCACTGATGACACAGACATGCTTAAACACATTTTGTGTGGAACAAGCTCCTCTGTGTATGAATTGGAACCCTAGCAGTAATTTTTTTTTTTTTACTTCGTGTTATAATGAAATGTACAAAGCTTGGAGTTAGAAACCCCAAAAGAAACACACTGCCAGCATTTCTCTTAGTTCTTTGAGGAACTAAGAAAAATGTAAAGCTTCGAGTGCAGTGTTGAAAGATTCTATGGGCAAGATAGTGAATGGTTTGAAGGAATTTTCGAGGAAAGAGTGGTACACAGTTATTGTACCGAAAGGAATTGATTGACGCTCAGTTATTTCATGGGGTAGTACATGATCCAGAACCAGGGGCACTAAGGGAAACAGCTGCACTGAAGGTATTGATGGAAGACAAGGCTCTAAGGATCACAAATACCAATTGAGATGTTTATCAAGCAAGGAATGCAATACAAGAAGTGCTCATTCATCTTTGCCAGGAAATCTGGAAGACTCCAGGCCAACCAATGGAAAGAGATATTCCAAAGAAAGAGGACACAACAGAATGCAGGAATGATCAAACCATTGCATCAGCATTACAGTCAAGTAAAATTTTGCTGACAGTAATTAAAAATGGTTGCAGCAACCCATCAACATGAAACTCCCATAGATCCAAGCTAGAGTCAGAAGAGGGCAAAGAACAAGCACCCAAGCCATAGGACTTTCAATCAGATCATACGGGTGTGGAAACAGAACAAAGGGAAGACCAGGATGCTGAAGAAGAACTGATGCATTTGAACCGTGGCGTTAGCAAAGGATCCTGAAAGTGCCAGGCGCTGCCAGAACAAACCATCTGTCTCAGAGTACACACAGCCTGAGTGCCCCTTGGCAGCACGGATGGTGGGACTCCCGCGCATACCTCTGACATGTTATCAGGAGGCCCTAAGGAAGGAGATTAGGCATGATCAGTAAAAAGGAGGAGTAACAAAATGGATTGGCATAGGAGCTGCAGCGGTGACTCAAACATGGTAAAGATGTGAGGGCGCAGGACCCGCCTGGGTTTCCTGGTGCTGTTCCTTGAGTCTGGACTGAATTGGTGACAGTGCACAGAACCATTGCATCGGATTCTTCTCTGGGCTTTGAGCTAGCAGTTTGCTGGTGGGATCATTGAGAAACAGAGTTGCGCAGCTAACTGACAGTCAGGAGGGGTCATAGCTGCTGACCACCATCAGTGATGTTTCAATAGCACAGGAACAGTAGCCCGAGTAGAACAATTTCCAACTGAAGTAAGATTCCATGTCATGCACACATTTTATGTCATAAAATCTTAGAATGTGGTCAAAATCATTCAATGGTTTTGAGACACAGAGAGAACAAGATTAAATCCTGCAGTGTTCTTGTGATTCCCATGTATGCCAGTGCAAACATCACAGTGCATTCATTTTACATAAAATAACAAAAGACTAATACATACCAATTCAATTTTCTGTATTCTCTGCAGTCTCCAGATCGTGCTAACTGTACACAAAGGATGCTATCTCACTGCGCTGCTTTATTTTTATTTGCATTTAAGAGCTTTAGCTGCACCTTATCTGCTACTGGGGGTGATGAACAAAACAGCAGGTGTGACATTGTTCTACAAATCATAAGGTGCTTTAAAGATGGAAGCATTATTTTTAAAAATAATTTTATTGGGGACTCATACAACTCTTATCACAATCCATACGTACATCACTTGTGTCAAGCACATTTATAAATTCGTTGCCCTCATCATTCTTAAAACGTTTGCTCTCCACTTAAGCCCTTGGTGTCAGCTCCTCATTCCCCGCCCTCCCCGCTCCCTCTTCCCTCATGAACCCTTGATAATTTATAAATTATTATTATTTTCACAGAAATCACATTGAAAAATAAAACTTTCATGTCAGACAGTGAAAGCTTTATTTTTGATGTGATTTTTGCGTATTGAAACATCAGAGGAAAACTAGGTAAGTTTCATTCTTTTACAGTGCGTTATTATTTCTTGGAATAAAAAGGTTGGACACACCTGGCTTTTGGATTATTTTATCATGGATCTGTAAACACAGTAGTGGCATGAAGGTTAAGAAGTGGCGCCACAACCTAGGAACTTTGCTCATGTTACTCAAGACTGTAAGCCGGTGTCTGCACATGAGGATCCATTGACAGTAGAACATTCTAATCTTCACAGAGGCGGACTGTTAGGGCTTTCTCCTGTGAAGCTGTGGGACAGATTCAAGCCACCAACCTTTCCATTCACAGCCAAGTGTCACCAGGCCTGTTTCCAAAACCAAATCAAACTTGACGACACTGAGTCAATTTGACCCATAGTGCCCTGGTAGGACATGGTAGAACTGCCTCCGTGGGGTTTCCTCGTCTGGAAAGCTTTGTAGAAGCAGACTGCTACATGTTTCTCCCATGGAGCTACTGGTGGGCTTGAACCGACCACCTTCTGTTAGCAGCTGCCCACTTAACCACTGGGCCACCAGGACGTTTTCAAGGGTCTTTAGGACCCCTTTAATGTGTTAAAAATGTTTGAGGAGCCTAAGAGCTCTTGTTTACAAGAGTTATATCTACCACTAGTCACAACATTCGGAATTCAAACAAATAAATATATATTATTCTACTCAGGAATAATAACAAGAAATCCATTACATGTTCATGCAAATAACTTCCGTTTTGAAAAATAATATTTTCACGCTGAAACAAAATTACTGTCATGTGATGCTCGTTTTATATGTTAGTAACTCTCCTTAATATCTGGCTCAGTAAAAGACGGATGGATGTTTATGTATGTTTCTGCATTTGGATCTATTGCGTATGTTGCTTTACTTGATGCTTATGGAGAGAATTTGGCCTCTTACGGATCTATTCGTTGGGGGTTAAAAAAGAATATTTTAATAGTCTTTTCAGACATTCTTCTTTGGTACTGCACTATAACTTATCCAGTCATGGGCTCTTAAAGGTTAGCTTCATTATGAAATCTGAACCCATTTCAAAGAAATTTGAGTTCTCTGTTATAGTAACAGCCGGTGGTCTTTCTTGCACCTTGACATTTCTTAAAGGAATCGTTGCATTTTACTAGATTAAAAAACACGATGCCTGCAGGAACTGCAGGGAAAGAAATGCAGAAGAAACAAGAACTGTATAAAAGGAGGTCAGAAATGACAGAGGACAAGCAGGGAGAAGAGACGGAACTTCATGAGACCCAAGTTAGAGTAGGTCTTCGACAGCAATTAAACATCTCTTCCTTTGGTGATCATGTTCGACAAATCCATCCGGGCCCAAGCGACAGTGGACCAGGGCCCAGGCTGAGGCACGCAATCCCTGGGCAGCGATGTGTTTCTTAGAGACCGCACCTCTACCCTGAAGACTTGCGCAGTAGTGGACGGGAGGTCTGTGGTGGAATGTTGGCGGGGGCTGGGGAACGGACGGCTCACCAGGCAGACCTCCCACACGTGGAGCTCCGTGGAGCTTCCATTCACACAAGATTCTGTAGCACAGTCCATGGCTCGCTAAACTGTGTTGATCTTCTTAATGTTCGTGCATTTAATTATACAACGGGCTTAATAATTGAGGACTGAAAAACTATTACTATTACCACTCCAAAATTTCTAAATCCAATAAATATGAGATAAGAAGAACATTTCCACTTTCCTGGTATGTGTGTGTGTGCGTGTGTTTCTATGGTGTGTGTGTGTTTATGGTATATGTAATGCTTTTGTTTATATGGTGTATATGGTGTGTGTGTGTGTGTTTATGTGGTGTGTGTGTATGGTATATGTGATGTTTCTGTTTATATGGTGTATATGGTGTGTGTGTGTGTGTGTGTGTGTGCGTGCGCAGTGGTTTTGAACCAACTCTTCTTCAGGGGAGATTTGAGAGTGCAGTCTGTCTCCCTAGGCTTGCTGTACTCCTGTTGCTGCCTGTGCTGCGGCACTTCAGCTGTCTGCACTGTGCCTGTGTTCGTGTATGTTGGAGTCAACTCCACCTCATGGTGGCCCGGGACTGTCAAAGTCGACCTGTGCTCCATAGGAGTTAGTGGCTGATTTCTCCAGCGCATATCACCAGACCTTTCTACCCCTGGGTAGACTTGAATCTCCAACCTTTCGGTTGTCAGTTGAGCACATTATGTGCCCTAGGCAGGAACTCCGCACTTTGGAATACTTCCTATATATGTTAGGAAGGGGCCGGCAGCCTCCTAGTTCATTTACTCTGTACCATTATTCTAGGCTAGTCTGATCATTCCTACACTTATTCATTAAAGCACTTTGAAAACTTACTACGCAGAAGTCACTGTGCTAACTACTAAGACTACAGTGCTGTAAGATTTGGTCCCTGTCTTCGAAAAGACCACCATCTTGTGAGAAGAAAGAAAATATTTCATCAATAAATACATGGACCGGAATGAGAGACCAGAGGAAGGTAGCAGATCGTTCTGGGAGCTCTAGGGAGAGCTCTGGGGGAAATTACACTTGATCCAGGACTCCTGGCTGACCTGGAGCTTGTCAGGAAGCGGGGAGGGCATCCTAAGTAGTGTGAACAACAGATGCAAAGGCTTGGGGCGATGAGAGATCATGGAATGCTCATTCTGGCGGGAACACAGGGTGAGCCATGCGAAGCCGGAGGAAATGAAGAAGTGGCTCAGCTCGGGAAGCAACAGATAGTGTGTGGAGTCAGCACGGTCCGTGTACTCAGATCTGTAATGTGGGACTGGGCAGGGAAAAATTGTATCCCGACCACTGATCCAGTGACCTAGAAGCAACTTCATCTTATGAAGAAATTAAGATAACAATGGTCTTACAAAACAGAAAGAGCACTTTTTTTCTACTTCTTTGAATAATTATTTCATCTCTTGGGAAACAACTCCCAGGTCAGAATCCGGATGTGGTATTTATATACTTGTGTGTGTGTGTGTGTGTGTGTGTGTGTACCAATAATTGGAAAACCATATGGAACTCATGCAGTTTAGCCCCAATTCATCCTTAATAGTCGGATCGAAAATCTTAGTCTGTTCAAATAGGAAGTCACCTAGGCGTTGTTGCCTCAGTGACGCTCAGACAGTGTTAACGTGAGGCAGTAGTTTACCACAAGGCAGCCGCAGTCAAAGCGCACTCACTTCCAATGAGGAAACCCTAACGGAAAAATCCACACCTGCCATGTGCTAGGAAGGAGCTCCGTCAGAAACAAGGGTTTCATATCCAGAAAACGTGTAGACTTCTTTGTTACAAAAAACAGGGATAGAGGATCCCTGAGTCCATCCCAGAAGTCTCTTCACATGTAAAACTGCATCCAGGCTCACCTTCCTTGGAGTGGCCGGCAAGGGAGGTCCCTGGGAGACTCAACAATTAAAGGTTGGTATTCACCCAGGGGTTTCTCAAAAGATAGGGCTGGAAATCTGCATCTGAAAAACCAGCCATCACACACCCCACAGAGCACAAGTCTACGATTCTGCTCTGCCACACGGAGGGCCACTGTGGTTGGATTGACTCCGTGGCGATTGGAGTGGCAAGAGAGAAGTCCTGGCCACCCTGCCCGTCTATACAGTGGTCTGTCTCTCACAGAGGATGCCCGACAAGAGCAGGTCCAGACTTGCTCCATCTTCTCGTACCCTTATGGCCCCAAAGCAGTTGAATGTGTCGCATGAATGCTCTTGTTTCTCACTGTTCTACAGAATCATTTTGGATGGGCCGGGGAAAATCCAGATCAGGAACCCGACGAGGAAAGAACAAGGAATCTATGGGTGCTCTGTAGCGAATCATCTCGGCTCAGACGTGGAAAGCTCTTCCGTGCTCTATGCAGGTAACATCTGTGCTGGTTTGGTTTTGCTTGTTGTTCACTTGGGTGGGTGGTTTCACATTAGAATCTAGAGAAGCAGTTGTTGCTCTTGAGTGGGCCTCCCAGCCATCTGGAGAGCTTGTTTACAGCACCGGTCGTGGGGCGCAGCCGCTGGAGTTTGCCACACAGTAGGTTTGGGGCAGACTCCAAGGCTTAGCACTGTTAACATAGTCCCTACTTTCTGCTGGTCCAGGGACCATGCTCTGAGAAAGGGCTGCCTGAGAGCTTGCTTTTTAAGAAGTATGAATTAATGCTATGTGCTTTGATAAACAATGTCAATACTACGTGTTCGTAGTTCTGCCAGTCAAGGAAAACAAGGATTGTCCTTTAAAAGTTGGTATAAGGAGCCCTCAGAGTTCAAGAGTTACGCACTCTGCTGCTAGCTGAAAAACGTGACCGTTTGAACCCCTCCAGCATCTCCTTGGGAGAAAGGCCCGCTTTGATGGCGATTACAGCCCAGAGAATCCTATGGAGTCGTTCCACTCTGTCATGTGTAGGTGCTGTGAGTCAGAATTGACTCGGTGTCAGCCACCAGTACAATACGATACAATGCAATACACTGCAGTACACTGCAAATATATACTTCTCTGAGACACACCTGCCAATCCTTAGAAACTCGGGATGTATCATTTCAAATTAATGCATGTCCTCCCAAGGGGCTGCTGCTGTTCTGTGCCATTGAGTCAGTTCTCACACAGCGACCTTGAGCTCAACACAAGGAAACACTGCCCAGTCCTGAGCCATCCTTACAGTTGTCCCCATTGCTGCTGCCACCATGTCAGTCCCTCTCCTCGAGGGCTTCCTCTTTTTCACTGCCCCCCCCCCCATGTTATAAAACACAACATGTCCTTCTCTAGGGACTGGTCCCTTCTGACAGCATGTCCAAAGCATGTAAGATGATGTCTCGCTATCCTTGCCTCTAAGGAGCACGCTGGCCATACATCTTCCAAGACAGATTGGGGTGTCTTCTTGGAAGTCTGTGGTACTTTCAAGATTCTTCTCCAGCACCACAATTCAAAAGCAACAATTCTTCTTCGGCCTTCTTTATTCAGTGTTCAACTTTCACAAGTGTATGAGCCAACTGAAGTGACCATGACTTAGGTTGGGTGCACCTGAGTCCGCAAGGGGGTGGTCTACTTGTATTATTATAGAGGAGTATTTTCAGCCTTGGTACATATTGACCCTGCTTTATTGTACCCAAGGCTGCATTGCAGAAGCATGATTTCTGCCCTCCCATGCCTTCCTAAACTTCTGCATTTATTCTTTTTCAAATTATTGAAGAGGAATTTATCACCATCATTTACATATGTTTTTTGTAATGCTCATCATTTACATATGTTTTTTGTCATGCACCTTTGTGGGCTATCTTTTTAATTCACCCATCCATCCACTCAGCCATCCATCTACTGAACATCTCTAAGCTGTGTATATATAAGTCCCTGTGTTGGGTACAGTATGGAAGGCAGAAGGAACCGGGACTCTGCCCCTGCTCACAGAGAACTCAGGAAAGTTTACCAAATGCAACTAGTTAAACACAACATTTCAGACTTGCGACAACCCCCTGGGCATAGTCCACCAGAGGAAGACCTGCACCTAACATACTTTCTTGTTCTCTTTGACTGAAGAGGCACCTGTCATCTTATCTGTTGAAAGAAATGTCACCAGTCCAGAGCGCACCCATCTGTTAGCTGTGGTTGGAGGCATCGTAGAGGCAGCGCTGCGAGCAAATGTGACAATCCAGTGTCCTGTAAAGGGTAAGTGTGGCCGCTGCCATTGGGAGGGCATGTGGCCAGTCTGCTGCTTCCCGAAAGGCCGGCTGGCAGTTTTGTGCTCTGGACTTCAGCCTCTAGGCTTGGAGGTCTGATTCTTCAGCACACTGACAGCGGGTCTGTCTCTCCAGTGTGAGCTCATACCGTTCATGAGACTGATGTACAAAACGGAAAGCCGGGTGACTCATTTGCAGTGGGGACTGTGACTGCCATGCACGTTGGAATGTTCACACTGGCGAGACCAGTACGTTCTGTCCCTGTGGGCAGGTGGACACGAGAGGCTAAATTTTAATCAGAATCTAGTGAATACGGAGTCAGGGCGAGGCCAGGTGGAACTCAGTAGATTTGTTCTTCGGCTAGGCCAAACCAGATCAAAGAAGCAGGAAGACCGAAATCCACAGGCCTAGCCTCAGCCCCCACCCTTGCCCGTGGTCTGCTTGAGGGTGGCATTGACCAGCCTGTGCCTCAGGGGCTCCTTTTGCCATGGTTACAACTGCGGATGAACCTCCCTCCCCACGAACGCATTCTTCCCTTAATAGAAACAGCTCTTTCCGCCTGACCTGGCTTTAACTTGGGGCTCTTGGGGCTGCGTCTTCAAGCCATTGATTTTTAAAACGCAACCTGGGACCCATGGTGGGAGTCCTGGGCCCACAACTCTCAGAACTGTAGGTGAACAGTATAAGTTGCACGTGTGTCCATTTGGTGAGGGACAGGAAAACTATGTGGATACCTTTCATCAATTTCTCAAAGATATGTAACTGCTTCAAATCTCAGAGATTCCATTTTAGGCAGCTGAGGAGCCCTTAGCCCAGTGGGGGTAAGCACTGGGTTGCCAACTACCAGGTCAGAGGTTCAAATCCACCAGCTGTGCTGTGACAGAAAGATGAGGCTGTCTGCTCCCGTGAAAATTGACAGTCTCAGAAAACCCAAAGAGCACGAAAAAACTGCCCTATAGGGCCACTGTGAATGGGAATCAACTTGATGGCAGTGTGTTTGGATTTAGGTGGTTGAAGAGCACAAATGGTTAAGCACTTGACCACTAGCCAAAAGGTGGCCACTTGAACGCACCCAGATATTCCTTGGGAGGTGATCTATCTTTCTGAAAGGTCACGGCCATGGGGCAGTGCTCCTCTGCACTCACAGCCCTGCTGGGAGTCAGAATGGACAGAGCAGCGACTTGCAAGTTATTCAGGTGACTTGACATATTCCCACAGCCCACTGTGCATCCGTGGAAGGCTCTGTGCAACTGTGTTCCCCTGTTTCCCAGTTCTAATGGGGACTCTTTAGCTGCAGCCAGAGCCTTTGCACCCTGCTTCTCTGTGCTCCCGATATCCCAGGGTAACTGCAGGAGGCACTGTGACCGCCCCCAGGAACACAGGGAAGGTGCGTGGAGACTCACTGGGAGGTCCCATCTGGCCTTCAGACTCTTCCTCCCCTGGAAGGGCCAGGTCCTTGTTTTCAAAGCTGCACTGTTGGCTCCACAAACAGTGGAAATTTGCTAACCCCCAATGTATTATTTTTCATCCCTTGGAATCCCCTGTGGTGTTTGGCCTACCCAACTTTCTGAAAAATCTCTCCAGCCTCCCTACTGACTCCGCCCACAAATGTGTGAGTTTTTTGGCAAAATGTGCCTCCCGTTATAAAGCGGACCAGCATTTTTTGGCCACGGTGAGACGAAAAGCAGAAAGGGACTTTGCAGACCCCCAGCCATGAATGTCTAGAGTTTCCACAGCCCTCCACCTGCAAAGGATGTTGCTTACACACACACACACACACACACACACACACACACACACATAACCACCTCAACTTCAAGCATTCTTTTCTTATTTTAACTTGTACAATTGTTTCAAGTTAGACTTTGAGGGAATGACTCATTGGAAGTATTTTGAAAACTGGAATTTGTGTAAGACAGAAACCTGTCAGAGATGGAAAACTCCTGTATTTTCCATTCATAGAGAGCCACGGAGAAGTGGTAAGACTGCACCCTGCCACAGGCTGAAAACTTGCAAGACATGGAAAAACAAGGCCACCTGTCTGCGGACTCACTCTCCCAGGGCTTGCTGTATGTTAGTTGCCGTCCCAGTCAGGGACGGTAATGAGTGGAAGTGCTCTGCTGAGCAAAACCTTCAGAAACGATGGCTAACCGTGGGTTTTACTCTCCCATCCAGGCCCAGTCGGAAGGTGGGCCCCTCTGACTCCGCTGTCAGACTCCAGTGGCCCTGTCTGCTCTGTCTCCATTGAGCTCTGTGCTGGACACACTTAATCTCCCTCCTCCCACCCTCCACCCTCAACTCTTCATAGGAATTGTTCTATTTGGCCTTTCTTTGCCCGGAAGTCACTCATCCCCCCGCCCCCACCCCCCACCCCACTCCCCCTGGGGAACTCATCAGAAATCCTTTTCAAAACTGATCCAGGACCAGATGCACTGCATCCATTTTTAATTGAGTCTCACTTCAAGTAAATCTGTTGAGACTATCTATGCAATCAATCAAGCCCTCAGGCACTAACTGAAAGGTTGGTGGTTCTAAGCCACCTCAAGGTCTGTCTGAGCAAGACTGAGTGAATGACTTCCCAAGGCAGCCACTGTGGAAAGCCCGGAGGAGCACAGTTCTCCTGTCAGAAATGGGAAACGTGATATGAAAGGGAGAAGGCACTTTGGCCGGTCTCTCGTTTCGACCCCTCGTTTCAGGCCTGGTGACATTATAATGCTTACATAATTGAAGGCTACCTCAAGAAGTCCCATAGTTTCATACTGCAAATTGAGATGGCTTCTGTACATTGGTGACATACATGTTTTTCATTTGCCCTTAACATATTTTCTCAATAATTATCATAAATGACTGTTTGTAGATCTCGTGGCTTCTAGACCCTTGTTTCTCAAAGTGGGCGATACCACTCCCTGGGGGAACTGGATGATCCCGGTGGGCTGCAACCCTATTTACCTACACTTGACCCTGGACTCTGAGCTATAGTACAAAACTTTTTCACTGAAAGGGGTGCTAAGTAATTTTTTTCTGAAAAGGGGGCTGTGAGACAAGTAGGTTTAGGAACCTATATTCTAGATAGGTTTGCTTCTGTCTGATGTAGACAAATGTTTTTCAATCAATCCTTGTGGAATGGCTATGCACAACGGTGGTCTTTAATCACTGCTGGGTGTTATTCCTAATAACTTCATCAAATCGTGGAACCTGGAAAGCTGCACCTGGAAGAAGTTTACACCTCTCTGGTGCAAGAGGTCATTGGGTTTCTGTTTTCTGAAAACTAGAAACAATTTAACTGCACCCCCTCTGCCACCTTCTGGTAAGAGAGGAGCGCACATCTGAAGCAAATGGGCAGTCAGGATTCTTCGCTGTGGCTTCCCATTGTGCTAATGCATGGACGATGGACCTTTGTGTCTCCTGAGGGTCATTTTCTAATGTGTGTCCTCTCTTATTTAACCAGCTGCTCGTCAGAGGCGAACTTGATCTGAATTCCTCCTCTCAAACGTTCTAGTGGCGTGGCCGCTTCCTCTCTCGGAGCAGCAGAAGTTGCTCAGCCCCCAGGTTGGGGCAGTGTGCCGCCAGGAAACGGCAGGCTCCAAAATAGGTAGCAATAGCAAAGCCGTCAACAGCTCCAACCCGAGAGTACCAGACAACGGCTCTGTAGAGCAGACCCAGGTGGTCTGGAAATGTTAAAGATGCCTGGAAACTAAACTAGAGAATGAAACTGTCTTATACTGTTCTTTATAGAACATAGGTGTCTAGCCACCTAAGAAGGAAATGTTCTGTCACTGTGGACTGTACTGTATTGAGAGCCCTGTCAAAGCAGCAGGGACACACGGAGCTCTCAAAGGGGGCAGTGACAGTGAGCGGGAGGCAAATAAATGGATCAACTATTTACATTTTAGCAATGGGAAGGTAGCTGTGTGTGTGACTGAGGGGTTTTCCTAGGAATGCAAAGATTTTTTTTTTTTACACTTACAAATACCTATTTTGAACACTTAACAAATCGAAAGCAGATGCTTTGAGTGACCTTAGGATATAGGATGATTATGAGTGACTAATACTTCTGAGAGATAGAAGCCCTGGTGGCACAACAGTTAAACACTTGACTGCTACCCTAAAGGTTGATGGTTCAAACCCACCCTGACTCTCCGTAAGGTGGGGGTGGGGGGGAATCTTCCCGGTCTGCTTCTGTAAAGATCACGGCCAAGAAAACATGGTGGGGCATTTGGGCTCCGTCACATGGAGTCACTATGATTTGAAAGGGGCTTGAAGGTCCCAAATAACAATGCTCCTTAAGGTTGCTTAGAAGCAAGGATGGACTTTGGACATGTGATCGGAGGCCAAGTCCCTGAAGAAGGACGTCATGCATGCTTGGTAAAGGACAGGGTCAGTCTCTTAACAAGATGGATTGGCCAGTGGCTTCAACAGTAGGCTCAAACAGGGCAGCAGGTGTGAGAACAGCCCAGAACCACAGTGTTTTGCTCTGCTGTGCATCAGGCCACTCAGAATCAGAGCAGACTGGATGGCATCTAACAACTCCTGCCTCTGAAAGAGGGGCTAGACAGGATTGGACAGAAGATGAAGGAGGCGTGCTGCAGGCCCACTAGCTGGTAGCCAGGGCAGGGGAGCCGGGCAGCCCATGGCAGCCCAGACTTCGCATGCTTGTCTCCGTCAGTCATTGGAAAGGGTTCACTGAAGCTCATGGTGAAGGCACCACGGAGGCTGTCTGCCCACAGCACCGCCAGCAGCTGGGCCACGAGGGCCCCGTTGATGGGACTCTGGGTGGAGCAGCTTCACTCCAGCCACAGAGATTCAGGCAGACAAAACTGGTGCTCATATTATGAGATACAGAAAAAGCATTTGATAAACGGCAGTGCAAACTGGTGATAAGAACTCTGGATGAACAAATAATAGTAGATATCATCCTTAACTTGATACAAATCCCTATCAAAGGAACTGGAAATACAGGGAATCCAGGGCAGATGATCCCTTCAGGAC